TTTTCTGAATTTTCTGCTAATTAATTAATTAATTAATTAATTAGCAGAAAATTCAGAAAAATCTATTGAACTAGCAGCACAATGTTTACAGTCAATTTCTTGTATAGTAAAACCTGTCCAAAACGGAATCCAAGTAAAACAGAAACCTGTCAAACTGGAAAAAATATTCAATAAGGTATGATTCGATTTACACAGGTTTTATTATATTTTTAACCAAGAATGAAGATTATCAGCTAGATATGCCATAATGCATCATTAATTTTGCAATATTAATAATTTATTGACAAGGAAATGATTCAAAATGTTTGCTTCAAACAATTTTACAACATATATAATGAAAAAAATTATACATATAAGTATAGTCATATTGTTCAAGGATCAACTGCTACACTTACTGTATTGTATCACGGAATAAATTAAATGGTCTAACAAGTAGTTACTGTACTTGTCATTTAATTTATGCCTTGATGTCCTGGAAATAGTTCTGACACTCAACATACCATTTTAAATAGCAAGAGTTAACAATACAAATTTTTAAAAATTTTAATGCTAATACAGTCAACCCCCCCCCATAACACAGTAGATACGTTCTGCTTTTTATGACATTCATGTTGTACAAGTCCTTAAATACATGAGCCAATCACAGCCTGGCATGTATGCAGTTTACGGACTATGGCTGTTTGAAAGGTTTTCTTCCATAAAATTAATCGATTCTAGACTAATTTGACTCAACATTTCCAAAACACGTATAATTTTTTGGGAATAATCCATATAAACTATGCTATAAACAAAAAATTGTANTGATATATAAACATCTTCTGAAACCCAATTCACTAGTACAAAGCCACACCAATTGCCAAATAATATCAGGCTATTTTTTTGCCTAATACTTCCTTCTACAGACAGATCAATTAATTAAAAATTATAATTGCCAGAAAATAGCCCAATATTATTCAGCAGTTGGTGTGGCTTTATATTGAATATGAAATATTAATACAAGTAAAATCACAGAAAAAAGAATATTTAAATATTTATTTAATTATTAGATGACAATTTTATCAGATTTAAAAAAAAAATTTTTTCCAAATAAACAGGAAAAATTAATATGCTAATGTAATGTTTCTTTCTCTTATTCTTCTTGGTACAGTTCTTTTTGTGACAATAAAATAAGAAATTGTTATAGCATAGCTCTAAAAAATATTAACCATAAAGTTTTAGATTATTAAAAATGTCTCTGATGAATTCAGCACAATTTTTATGCAATCATACATCAAACTAATGTTTTATGTTACTTACTTAAAAAGTATAAAGTGAGTAACATAAATCATCACATGAACTATTACATCATATGGTTGAATTTTCTTGTAATATTTTTTAATCCGCTCTATTCTAAATATACTGTAGTATATATGTTTATAATTATAACCTTACAAAGCTGGAACACTTGTAATAAATGACGACACACTTTGTTCCATTAAATCATTGCTGGAAAAAACAGCAACCAAAAATGTTTGTTTGTTCTATTAAATTGGTGCTAGAGAAAGTAGAAAAGATGTGTTATCATTTATTGATATATATGTTTCAGTTAATTTAAAGTCTATTATTATTATGTTAGAAAAATCTAGAAATATTTAATTTTTTAAATATTTTACTCATAGTTGCACAATCATCCAGAATTATTATATATATTTTTCTGTATAATTACAGTATATAATGAATAATATACTGTAATTAATTAATTTCATTACGGTAGTAAATAAATTTTGTTTACATGTATAAAGTGTAAATGAAATTGTGTATTTATCCTTTGGAGTAAAATTATTACTAATTATTGTTTTCAATATATTTTAGAATTATCAGATAAAGAGATCTATGAAAAGGATATGAGATTATTGGATCAGTCTGAAGGTATGTAAAATTTATATTATTTTAATTAAAATATTTATTATCTTAGAATTATTACATTTACATCTATTAAATTCTTTATTATTTCTGAATTATTAAGGTTAAAATCAAATTTACAACACTATTTCATTAAAATATTACATATCACACCTTAATTATATGCTTTTTATATAACACATGCAAAATCATTTTTGAAACCTTGTTAGAATTACATTTTAGAAACATAAAAATGCATGTCAATAGTGTTATTTATTGTTTCTACAGAAAATTTTTTAAATTACATTTAATTTAGGCTACAAGATATAATTTTTGTCTCTTAGTTATCTGGTTCCATGTTTTGTTGTTTAAATTATACTGCTAGCTATTTAAATATATTTTGATAAAATTTGAAAATTCTTTTATATTGAATTGTTAAATTATTTTTAATAATATATAAAAGTGAAAATACTGTTAGTAAAATTAATTTCTTAGTAAGACAATTTCTGTGTCTTGTAATTTCATTCATTCTCTTAGAATGACTGTTGTTGTTATAACTTATTACATTCATTTAAAATAATTTGAAAGTTTCTTAAAGATATAGAACATTCTTTTAAATATTTCATATTACAAAATTTTTTACATGCATTTTCATTTTAAATAATGAAACTTGGGCAAATTCCACATTAAAAGACATCTGTGTTTTAATAAACATCATTGTCTTGTTGTAAAGTGTAGTCTGCTGTCTTGTGATAAATTAAAAATTAATTTGTTATAAAATTATTATTCTGGAAGAATAGACTTGGCCCGAGATGGCAGCATAATAACCTATCTCTAATCAAATTACTTTATTTCTAATTATTAAAATTAACTGTATTATATCTGGATTATATGGCAGATTGTTTGGCAATAATTAAAAATTGGATTTGGATTTTGTGTTTATATAATTTACATTATAAAATTTGTTATGGTTACTATAATTTTTTTTTCAATTTTCAGTCAAAAATGGGATATATATTTCTGTGGCAGTATTCGAGCTGGCCGTCAGGATGCGGAACTTTATCGTACAATTATTGGTAAATTGAAATCTTACGGTACAGTTTTAACTGAATTTGTAGGAACAATAACAGATGCAGATGCAATGACAGCAAATGGTGATTCTCATGGTAATTAATGACACTTATTTTTCTTTTCTTTTTTTTTTTAACATTACAATATATTCAATTTAAATATTGGTAAATATAAAAAAAAAATAGCATTAATGTTAGGTAAGAAACTTAACCACCAAAAATTTTTAAAGAGTAATAAAGTTAGTGTTTACTATTATAAATGTTTTTTGAATGTAATCAAATGTATTTTTGTATCAAAAAGCATAACACAAAAGAGTTAAGTAAGAAAGAATAATTTGAATATTGTTAATACCTCATTAAACCTCATCTATGCCCAGTGACAAATTCCAGAGGTAAACAAACATTTTCAGGCTCCTTTTGAGCTCTGCTTCGGATTTTCTGCATTCTGTGAAAGGAACATGAATTGAAGTGTGGTCAAATTCAAATTTTAAATGCTATGTTGCCAACAGACCTATGATGAAGTTGAATTACATCATTCATCATTACATAATTGGGTGGGTTATGTTAATTGGATGGTGTCTTGTTGGTAGTGATGGATCATACTTATCATTGATACTTAAAATCTAGCTAGCTATTTTATTAAATATTGATGAATATCTTTCATCAATGTTTAATTTTAAGTATCAATGATTATATCAAATATATTGAATATGATATATAAACATCTTCTGAAACCCAATTCACTAGTACAAAGCCACACCAATTGCCAAATAATATCAGGCTATTTTTTTGCCTAATACTTCCTTCTACAGACAGATCAATTAATTAAAAATTATAATTGCCAGAAAATAGCCCAATATTATTCAGCAGTTGGTGTGGCTTTATATTGAATATGAAATATTAATACAAGTAAAATCACAGAAAAAAGAATATTTAAATATTTATTTAATTATTAGATGACAATTTTATCAGATTTAAAAAAAAAATTTTTTCCAAATAAACAGGAAAAATTAATATGCTAATGTAATGTTTCTTTCTCTTATTCTTCTTGGTACAGTTCTTTTTGTGACAATAAAATAAGAAATTGTTATAGCATAGCTCTAAAAAATATTAACCATAAAGTTTTAGATTATTAAAAATGTCTCTGATGAATTCAGCACAATTTTTATGCAATCATACATCAAACTAATGTTTTATGTTACTTACTTAAAAAGTATAAAGTGAGTAACATAAATCATCACATGAACTATTACATCATATGGTTGAATTTTCTTGTAATATTTTTTAATCCGCTCTATTCTAAATATACTGTAGTATATATGTTTATAATTATAACCTTACAAAGCTGGAACACTTGTAATAAATGACGACACACTTTGTTCCATTAAATCATTGCTGGAAAAAACAGCAACCAAAAATGTTTGTTTGTTCTATTAAATTGGTGCTAGAGAAAGTAGAAAAGATGTGTTATCATTTATTGATATATATGTTTCAGTTAATTTAAAGTCTATTATTATTATGTTAGAAAAATCTAGAAATATTTAATTTTTTAAATATTTTACTCATAGTTGCACAATCATCCAGAATTATTATATATATTTTTCTGTATAATTACAGTATATAATGAATAATATACTGTAATTAATTAATTTCATTACGGTAGTAAATAAATTTTGTTTACATGTATAAAGTGTAAATGAAATTGTGTATTTATCCTTTGGAGTAAAATTATTACTAATTATTGTTTTCAATATATTTTAGAATTATCAGATAAAGAGATCTATGAAAAGGATATGAGATTATTGGATCAGTCTGAAGGTATGTAAAATTTATATTATTTTAATTAAAATATTTATTATCTTAGAATTATTACATTTACATCTATTAAATTCTTTATTATTTCTGAATTATTAAGGTTAAAATCAAATTTACAACACTATTTCATTAAAATATTACATATCACACCTTAATTATATGCTTTTTATATAACACATGCAAAATCATTTTTGAAACCTTGTTAGAATTACATTTTAGAAACGTAAAAATGCATGTCAATAGTGTTATTTATTGTTTCTACAGAAAATTTTTTAAATTACATTTAATTTAGGCTACAAGATATAATTTTTGTCTCTTAGTTATCTGGTTCCATGTTTTGTTGTTTAAATTATACTGCTAGCTATTTAAATATATATTGATAAAATTTGAAAATTCTTTTATATTGAATTGTTAAATTATTTTTAATAATATATAAAAGTGAAAATACTGTTAGTAAAATTAATTTCTTAGTAAGACAATTTCTGTGTCTTGTAATTTCATTCATTCTCTTAGAATGACTGTTGTTGTTATAACTTATTACATTCATTTAAAATAATTTGAAAGTTTCTTAAAGATATAGAACATTCTTTTAAATATTTCATATTACAAAATTTTTTACATGCATTTTCATTTTAAATAATGAAACTTGGGCAAATTCCACATTAAAAGACATCTGTGTTTTAATAAACATCATTGTCTTGTTGTAAAGTGTAGTGAAGTTGATGTTGACTCATGGAGATTCTATGAAATAAATTAAAAATGAATTCTATTTAAATTATTTTCATACTTTAGCATTACAAGATTACTGGACAGGTCAGTTTTTTAATTTATGTATTTATTTGGATACTTATAGAATGGAAAGGTGTTAACAATGTATCCTATATTTCTGACAATAGCAACAGCACTAGATTTATTTGCATGTAAAGAAAGCTTGTTAATCTGCTTCTGTATATTTTCCTAAAAATTTAGTTGATATAGTTACAACAGAATAAATGTAATATTTTGAAAACAGAAAACTTGTAATACTTTTCTTCCTATTACAGGAAGGAAAAGTATTACATTAGACAAGATTAATTTGAAATACTAATTTAAAGTTTTATAAAATCAGACAATTTCATCTAATTTCAGATGGTGTTCTAACTTAAATTATTATTATATGTAAAACCAAGCTTGACATATTTAATCATCTTTAACATTTTTATAATTGGTTTGCTGAATTGTAGCATGAATAAAATTCAGCAGTATTATTTGTAATTATGAACATGATTTTAGTAAATCATTATATTTACATTAAACTAAAATTTTAATTGTTTACTGAATTGAAAACTTTCTGCAAAAAATTTATATAGTTTTTGATTATGAAAAAGTTGATGTGATGATAAAATTTAGAATATTTCAAAACAATACCTTCTACAGTATATTTGAGATCTCTAAATAGAGAAATTGTTTATATCTAAGATATTTATATATTTTGCCTTAGCTTTATTAACTTATAATCTATTTATATATTTGCTTAACTGATTAGTTTCTAAAATACATGTTTTATATATTTTAATCTTATCAATATTTAAATATTTTTAAAATTAAGTACTCAAATGATTACAGGAGTATTTATTTTGCATTTTTTCTTTGATAAATTAATTTAAAGACTTTGGAACTATTTTAATCAAAAATATGTAAAATACTTTCTATTTGAGTTTTGTTATTTCTCTAAAATGAAATATAAAATTATGAGAGATTCTTCTTTTTTCTTCCACTCCTCAAGAATAAAAATAATTAAAATAATAACCTAATCAAAATTTATTTTTATAATTATCCTTTTGAAATATTATACAATTAAAATATGTAATGAAACATACATATATATATATAATTAATTTAATGTGAAATTAAATAAACTAAAATTGTGTTATGTTTACAATAAATGAAAATGATCTATTTATTAAGAGATAACATTTCTGTTTACTTTGTTTCTAATTAGCAACTTGTCAGAAATACAGAACAAATAAGTTGATGAGTCTAATGTATTTTTTACATATAATTTTCTAAAAAGATTCCTGCTGATATGCTTATATAGTGACTGATCATACTGAATTGTTTTTATTTAGCAACTCTGATGGTACAGTACTACATACAGGCTATTGATAGTTTTTATGCTGTCTGCTGGTATAGCATACTAGTGCAGTCCAGTCAAAAATATAGCTCTAAAATATTTATTTATATTTAATAGTTATGACATTTTTCTGCTATACAATTACAAAAATAAAGAGAATGACGACACTTGCTATTGTTACTAATAAATTAATTAATTGAAAATGAGAAAATATGGAGCAACAGATGTTATAGACTTATATCATATTAAATTAGATAAATTCTCTATATTGTAACATCATACAGATTAAAGTATTTTTAAATTGTATTTTGAACAGCTAATTAAACTAAATAATTAAAATATCAACATATGTTTCCACTAAACCAAACCAATGATCTAAATCTTAGTGGAAATATATTGATATGTTGATGTTTAAAATTATGAATTTTTATATGGGCTGTCTAAGAGTTAATATTTTATTTTTTGGGTTTCTCACATGCAGTTTAGTAATATACTTGTTACTGTTTTTCAATATTTTCAGAATCATAAGGATAGATCAGATGGTTTGAATTACCTTGATGTAGACTTAGAATTTTAATTTATATACACATTGTTCTTATATTATACACTAATTATATTATGATACAAACTTATGCATGTATTATGCCAAGTGAAACAAAAAAACATACAACATAAGCATACATAAATTTTTAATTTTATTCATTTATATTTTTTTTTTTAAATATCACAAAAAATAATAAAGTGTATATAAATTAAATAACAAAATTAACATGAACTAATTATACTAGTTTTATATTAGTTTACAAGTCCTGTTTATAAACAAGGTTCAAGTAGACAATATAAAAACAAAAAAGCAGAAGATATATAGTGTGTTTATTTTATAATATGCATTCATGAAGACAGTTTCAAAGAACAAATACTTGCCCTCTAAGGCCTCAAAATTATGTGTGTATGTAAGTGCAATGTTTCAACATCAATAAAATTAATATGTTAAAGTCTGTTTTAGTCACTATAATCAATTAATTATTATAAGTAACTTTTGAGATACCAAGTTAGTTGATATATTTTCCTAACTGATAAGGCAGAAAAAGTATTAAAATACATATTCTGAATCTTCAAAAAGTTGGCCAGATGATTGTGCAATAATGTGTTTCCTGTTGCTTTGTATTTGATCCTGGATCCTGAATAATGGATCTGGGCTTAAATCTAGTTTAGAATTAAAATGTAGTGCAAATTGGGGGTGTCATTTTCTATCCTTTGTACAAGCTGACTTCACTGCAAGATCAAATCTGCAATAGATAAGATTATGGCTTTCTAAATAATCTAACTATGCTCAGGTTTTGCATTAGCTAATAAATCAGACTGATGATAAAAAGTATTTTAATCATTTTAATTAGTTAAGTATCTGTTGTTAAAAATATATACCTTACTTATAATAATTTTAATGATAAAATATGTAACACAATAAACAAAATAAATTTGACAAAACTTAAAATTTTTATTTATTAAAAGATTTTTCACAATGCTAATGTTCATTAATTATTTTAAGTTATACTGTTTTTGATAAAAGATGAGTAAACAAACAATTTATCTTTAAACAAAATGGAGATTACAGTAATTCACTAAACACTGTTGAAGTATGTTTTCGTTGTTTGATTCGAAAGACTGCAAATTGACTTCAAGCCTTTGTTAGCACATTTGTCAGGAAAAGTTAGAAAACTTTTAGCTTTCATTTATAAGCTTAAAAAAATTAATATTGAATATAAATTTTATTTTATATTTTGTAAAATATGGTTATTTTAATTTAACTTATTAAAATCATTGAATCAGTATCATCAATAATATCAAATGTATTTTCTATGATTCATATACAGTCGACCCCCCTATAGTGCGGTAGATACATTTCGCTTTATAAGAATTTCACGTTGTAGGAATCCTCAAATACATGAGCCAATCATAGCCCGGCACGTGTGCAGTTTACGGACTACGGCTGTTTGAAAGGTTTTCTTCCATAAAATTAATCGATTCTAGAGTAAATTTCACTCAACATTTCCAAAACACGTATAATTTTTTGGGAATAATCCATATAAACTATGCTATAAACAAAAAATTGTAGGATTACTTACCGAGTGTGCACCATTCAACGACACCATTGCTTAAGCTTGTTTTCGTCGCAGGGCAGCGTGCCAAACAGCGGGCACATTTTCTGACAAGTTATTTTTCTGAGAAAAATTCATTGAACTTTGGAGACATCATTAATAGAAATAATTTTTATGACCATTGAATAAGAAATGTTTTTTTCACAAGAAATGTATAAAATTACAGTACTGTATTAGACTTACAGTACCTAATTTAGGCCTATATACTGTACAGACTATAGTAAACTGAACTTACCCACCTAAACTCTCCGTAGTGTGTAAGTAGTTCGGCTGCTTGTCCCTATTGGTCCAGATTTGACCAATCCTGTCGCGACACGAGTCGGTGATGACATTTTACTGCATTTTATGAGTCTCTTTTAGCATCTTTATACGAATACGGTTGCAATTTTTTTGCTGCGATATACAAATCCGCATTATATGAACCTGCGTTATAGGGGGGTCTACTGTACATATATTATACATACGTACCATATACACATTTAATGTCTTTTTGCTTACATTAAAATGTAAATTAACTTAATCATATATATATATTGCCTAATTTTTAAATTTATTTTTTTACATTTAGCTGTAATTGCTGAAGTTACTCAACCTTCACTCGGTGTTGGATTTGAAATATCACGTGCTGTCACACTGAATAAACCATTACTCTGTCTGTATCGGCCATTACCCGGAAAAATTCTTTCATCTCTCGTTCGTGGTATTCACAATGGTGACACTTTCAACGTCATAGATTATAAAGAAAATGATCTTGATACTATTTTGATTGATTTTTTTGAAAAGGTACGTGTTATCAGAGAGAAGAGCAAATCAGCAGACAGTACAGAAATAACATCATCATAAATTGCACGAATACATTTATATAAGTTTATAACATCATTTACTATAACCTGTCACAAGTTTTTAAACCAAAATTTAAAAAGAAAGAAACAAAAAGATTAAAATTTGGTTTAAACTTTATAAATACAAAAAAATATCATGTTAAAAATATTTACATCATATTTGAGATTCAGATATATGCAACATTCCAATTTTGTAAACATATTGTATACTCTATTATTATATGTTTGTGTGTAGGATGAATCTTATCAAAAGTTTGTGCATTTTGGTAAAATAAAACTGTATATAAATATAAGAAAAAATCATAAATAGAAAAAGCACATAAATTATATCAATTTTTTTATTCTACAATTTTTAACTGTTATATACTTAAAAAAAATAAACTGCCATTTTTAAGAGAAGAAAAAGTACTGTGTGTTAATTTGGTCACTGATGAAATTTTTAGATATTAGCATCGTTATATTTTTAATGCCATTTCAGTCAGTGAATAAAGGAATATAAAAATGAACAATTTAATTCATTTTTAAGATATTTACAATTAAAAGTTTATAAAATATCTCAGCAACTGAGTTAATACAAACATATTTAATGTAGCAGTACATATAATTAACAACTCGAGATTATACGGCGACCATACTAATCCAATCAGTGATCTCAACGTGTTCATTTTAATCCATAATTTTAAAATTCAGAGATTTTCTAAATATAATTTAATTTAGGAATTTATAATAAAGTTGTCATTATTACTTTGTGATGCTTACATCTTTAGAGTTGAGTGTTATGAATTATTTTTCTCATATTACTTCAAGCATTGACACAAAGAAAAGATTTATACAGTATATTAAATATTTAAAATATATTTTATATTGAAAAAATATATATTATCCATAAGGTTTTGGATTAATATGAGGTGACTAATCTACGTTTAACGGATATATTATGATGGTTTTATAATATAATATATAGAAAATAAAAATAGATTGGTCTTAAAAATCAGACGAATGGTTTGGTTATTTATATGCCAGTATTGTAAGCTATAAAAAATTATTTTTGTATTTGCTTTATTTAAATACAATTAATTTCTTTTGCCATTTGTAACATTTGTTTGTAAAGTTTAACTGTTATTAAATGTATGCAATATATTGATTATAAATTGTTGTGTGCTTTTTTTTTTTTTTTTTTTACTGTTAAACAGTAAAAGGATTTTAAACAAAAATAAATTGTTTAAATGGAGCTTTGGAAATTCTTGGTCAAGCAGCCGATGGCATGAAATTACTATTGATGGGATTATGATTCAAAGCTTACAAGTTGGAATCCTTTTCTGACAACTGTAGCTTGATCTTGACTTTTCGTACTGTTAGGATCTGAAACAAAAGGGGAGAGACAGCACAGTACAGTTAAAACTTTTTATTAAGTTGCCAAAGATGAGAACAAAAATACTACACACACACACACTATTCAAGCAGAATTGTTTACTTGGGTAATGCTAGCTGGAAATGATAATAAAACAACTCTTGCTCTCCAAACAATTATATTAATTAGATATTCTGACTTGTTTATATTTAACAGGTACAAAGTTCAAAAGCAAGGCCTATCAACTCTTTAATTTTTTGTAATTCAGTTAAGAGACAGTTCTCCATTCCTTGTGCGAATTAGTCGACCACAATGCATCCCGGAAGGCCTAGCAATAAGGTGGCAATCTGCCGATTCGAGGGATCCAGGGACAAATCTGGAAGGGTGAAAAAAAACCCTGGGAGTTTTCAGGGATGGTTCATCCAGATACTTTAGCCCATTCTTTGCCACCTCGCTGCTCTGTTGTGGACTTGTTACAAAAGACTCTTTTAGTGTCCGGGCAGAAAGAGTTAAAACATGCCTTTCATGCTTAAAACTTGGTTGTATAACCTTTTTGTTTCTAGTTCTAGAAAACCAAAAAAGCCAGCTTTTAATATTTCCATTTTGCAATTGTTACACTTACTGTTTTATTAAACAAGAAGAGAAATAAGGTATTTTCTTTATTTCTCTTCAGTTTAAAATTAATCTGACATCATATTGTAGTTACTGTTAGTACATTTATATGTAATTATGATTAAAGACATAACATAAAAACTAATTATTCAATAGTATTTAATATTATAGAAGCTTTATAAATGAACAAAGTTGCTGTTGTAGTTAACAGAATATGCAATACATCTTTATCCACTGTTAAAAGTTGTATTGCTTACTTCATTAGATATGTAAATTAACATTTTACATTACATTAATAATGTATTAATGATAATAACAGTTTAGAAATTGCATACTGAAGTAATATAACTGGTATATAGAATGTTATTAATTAATATAGTCAGTCTAAGACATTTTATGAAACTTTTTATTAATAAATGGTTCAGCTTTTATGGCTATCGTTTAAAAAAAAACGCCGAAATGGCACAGCTTAGTAATAAAATCTAATGTGTTTTTAGACGAACGTTATTAATTAAAACAATTGTTCAAGTCACGTTTCTGAATGACTCCTTAGTTACTGTTGCTAGGATAACAGATATTAAACACGAGGTGGCGGTAGCATCGATGCTAGATACGAAATTAGCGAAAAGTCATGTATTCAATACGTGTCAGTTTCAAAATTATTAAGAACAGAAAGAAATAAACACGACGATTAATGGTAAGTAGCCATTATTACGCGTATATTTTCCATGGTTTTAAGTATTTTAACGTTACTAAAGGTCATCGAGTGATAAGGCGCGGTTAGTGGCAATAACCTGTTTTTTATTTATTTTCTGGTAACACGAGTCAATGTACAATTGGCATTTGTTTCGTTCAGCAGAAAAAGAAGAAAGAAGAAGATTTAAAATTGCCTCAATTAACAGGACAGGCGATTGTTCAGCCTAAGCAAGTAAAACAGAATAAAGAATCGCCAGTTCACTTTCCAGTCTTGGCTAGCGATAATTCGGTTCAGAAACCTAAAACAGAACCCCCTTCAACAGGAGAGAAAGTCCCATTACTGCCTTCCATTCATTAATTGAAAGAATTATTTGTTCGTTAAAAAGTTTTTAAAAATTGTAGATTTGTCTTGCTTAAAGAAAAAAAAAATAATAAAAATAAAAAATAAAGTGCGATTCGGAGATTTTAATAGATGTATTGTTTACTCTAGTGTCAACACGAAACACGAATGTATTATTTATAATTACGTGCATATTTCCAAGTTAAAGTAGTTTTAAAAAATTATTAATAAATCGCGTTTTAAATTTATATTTTAAAGGTATTTTTATATACTAAACTATGTGAAAACCGGGTTTATATCCTTTAACACAAACCCGGTTTTTACATATAGTTTAGTATATAAAAATACCTTCAAAATATAAATTTTAAAGGTATTTTACATTATATGGCATTTCTTCCCGTGTTTTATACATAAAACTATTTTTTATAAAATAAAAGTACAAAGTGTTTTTTTTTTTGATTTTGTACAGATTTAAACCGAATGTATCCTTTAACAAAAGATTGTTTAGCATTTTCAAAATACAGTAAAACCTGTCCAAAGTAGAACCCGAATAAAACGGAAAGGTTCCTCGAAACGGAGCGATTTTCTATGTTAAAAAAGAACGTCCAAAACGAAAACCTGCCAAACGCAAAAAATATTTGGTACCGTGCGGTTCCGGTTTACACAGGTTTTACTGTAATTTCAAAAAGCAAAAATACCGATTTAGAAGAGGTTTACAAGTTTAAAATATAAAAAATATTTATATATTTAATATAAACTTATATCCTTGCTCTTTTTCCTAACCTCAGCCAGNCATGCATTTTCATTTTAAATAATGAAACTTGGGCAAATTCCACATTAAAAGACATCTGTGTTTTAATAAACATCATTGTCTTGTTGTAAAGTGTAGTGAAGTTGATGTTGACTCATGGAGATTCTATGAAATAAATTAAAAATGAATTCTATTTAAATTATTTTCATACTTTAGCATTACAAGATTACTGGACAGGTCAGTTTTTTAATTTATGTATTTATTTGGATACTTATAGAATGGAAAGGTGTTAACAATGTATCCTATATTTCTGACAATAGCAACAGCACTAGATTTATTTGCATGTAAAGAAAGCTTGTTAATCTGCTTCTGTATATTTTCCTAAAAATTTAGTTGATATAGTTACAACAGAATAAATGTAATATTTTGAAAACAGAAAACTTGTAATACTTTTCTTCCTATTACAGGAAGGAAAAGTATTACATTAGACAAGATTAATTTGAAATACTAATTTAAAGTTTTATAAAATCAGACAATTTCATCTAATTTCAGATGGTGTTCTAACTTAAATTATTATTATATGTAAAACCAAGCTTGACATATTTAATCATCTTTAACATTTTTATAATTGGTTTGCTGAATTGTAGCATGAATAAAATTCAGCAGTATTATTTGTAATTATGAACATGATTTTAGTAAATCATTATATTTACATTAAACTAAAATTTTAATTGTTTACTGAATTGAAAACTTTCTGCAAAAAATTTATATAGTTTTTGATTATGAAAAAGTTGATGTGATGATAAAATTTAGAATATTTCAAAACAATACCTTCTACAGTATATTTGAGATCTCTAAATAGAGAAATTGTTTATATCTAAGATATTTATATATTTAATATAAACTTATATCCTTGCTCTTTTTCCTAACCTCAGCCAGAAATTACGCTTACAATCTTCAAAATTTTAAAATAAAAAACACCCAAAATTCTGTATAAATTTATTGGGTATAACCCTTTTTTAAATGGGATTATCCCTGAAATTAAAAATTCATAAATAATACTATTAAAATAATTTTATGCGCATGTAGAGTACAAAATGCGATTTTATTATCTTTCCAACCTCTTTAATAAATCATATTCCTAGAATGACTATTTTCGCTAAATTTAGAGGTATAAAAAATTTTTATATGCAATTAAAATATGGAATGATCTCCGGCACTTGAGGAGAAGGAAAAAATAAATAAAAAATTCTTTATACTGCCGACAATTTTGGCAAGAAAACACCTTTTTCTATTTTTAGTTACGCAGATATTATAACACCGCGCTTTAGTTATAGAAAAGTTGTGTCACCCGAAACAAATCGCTTTGATCATGTTATTTAATTTAAAAATATATATATATCTTAAATCGCATTTTTTAAAAATTGATTCGTTATTTTTAAACAATTTTTAGCGCGGAAAAAAAGCCGCGAATTGATTTTCTGTCATGAGATACGTCTGTTTAAAGATTTTATTAGATTAAAAAATTGATTTTTGATGTAAATAAGTACATTATACACTTTAACGGCGGTTTGTACGTAAAATAAATCCAATTAGTCGATTTAATTCACTTGGAATTGGAGCGAATGGCATCTTGCTTACTATCGCCGCTTCTGCCCCTAATTACAATTAAACAACAATTAGACAAAGGAGTTAAAAATCAAATCTTCCAGGAAGAAAATTATCGAGTGTACGTCACTTCAATAGAGGCAAGATGCCAACTACGCATTTAGTATCGACAAAAAGACAATTCAAGTCGCAAGACCCCGTACCCACAATACAGAGGATGCTGACCTAGTCACGTGACGTCGACGTCACTGAAGCCGAACGTTCCTAAAATTATTCCTCAACTCTTACGGCATGTCACGGTTACAACAAAGGAGCGAGTTTGATTTACGTATGCGATCTTTCTAAAATATATTTCTATAAATTTAAAGTTGAGATGTGTAATTTTTCATATTCTTTCACACGTAAATATTTGTTTGATAAATGTTAAAGGTAATTATCTCCGCGGGAGATGGACGATTTGGATGAAAACTTTCTTTTTTAGTCGACACTGCAAAATGAATAATTAATTTTTCTCTTTTTTACTGCCGAAAGTATTTTTTTTCTATATTTTTACCACCGGAAAGCAATTTGGGTTCAGAAGGTTGAACTGAGACCAGACTACTCACTAGGGAGCAGGTAGGGATCTATATATAACCAACGGCAAACCATATTTAGTAATGTAAGATCTGTGCTTTTTAATGGCAACCAGACCTTAAGGAACGTTTCGGAAAAGATAACTGGAGTGACAAATCCATATTTTACTTAAGAGGGAGGAAAAATACGAAAAATATTTTATTATGAATTTTAAACGAATACATTCTTCTACAACGTGTCTTTTTAATTCTTTTCTTGCCGTAAGGGGCGCATTTTTTTTTAATCGATGACTTATCGAAAACGCTTAAATTTATTAATGATATTTTACTACGGAGACGAATTGAAACGTTAATAATGATTATCTCCCTACAAAAATCAATTAAATACACCATAAATTATATTTATAATTTAATGTATAATTAATTGATATTTATAAAAATAGAATGTAAGCAAAAAACATTGAGGGATATAAATAAACCGAAGATGAATTAATGATAAAGTTTTTAGGCACTTAATTAATTTAACGATTTTGAACTTGAAGGATGATTTTAGTAAATTTTAAAATTATCCATTTTTTAAAATAACGATAGCATTATGGGTAATTTATATCCGTCGTCTGCCTACTGTTATAGTTAAATTGGGTGTTCTCTTACGATAGCCAATCATCCTATTCTGATTAAGGATTGTATAATATATAAACAGACATGGTCAAAATCGACGAAGTCAAACAATATTGAACTGTAAGTATCAAATAGAGCGCGACCAAAATGTCTTGGTAATCTTATGAACCGAACCCGAATGTCGTGTGACGTAAGCGATAACCTTCCATATATGGTAAAATTCAGTCAATAGAACGACAATAGTAGATGAAGATTGAATACCCGAAACCGTCACATTTCTAGAATATATGAAAAGTTTTCGGAATTTAACGGTTCAGTGAATGTTTTCCTCGCATGGTTGACTTACACTAATGACACAAATAAGCTCCAATCACAATATCTAGCCATTGGAACCAGACATAAACCAGAATTATAACAAGAATCGTGGCCGACAGAATATCGAAATCGTCGATAGAATCCAGACTATGGTAAGATCTCTGTTCATACGCAGTTTAAAACTCGTGTATAGTTTAATTTTGGAAACAGGAACGACGTTCGTTTGTTTTTAGTATATCTTAGCCTCTAAGATACGTTCCAAATACTGAGTCAAGGCATCGAATAGTAAAGCTCTGAAGGTTCTTCAGTCTAGTTTCGGAGACTTCTTGACACACCGTAAAAGGAAACAGGAGGATGGTGACGTTTAGAAGACGAGGCACGCCCAACAGAATACCGAACGTGTCCCATCTTACTTTTAGTCGTAATTAAGAAGTCGAATTGTTATGATGTACAATTTTGTGATTTTTCTGTGATAATTCTTGTTTTATTTTGTTGTTTTTTTTCATGCCCAAGATCGTTTTGGGAGTATAATAATTACATTTTTTGGTTATTGTGGTGTAATCTCTGATACCAAACAATTGGGATTTAATTGATTGTGGTGTCAAGAACCTTCGCACTGTTGGATTTTTTACTGAAAAAGAAAATTTCTCTTGTGTTTTTTCTTTGTTTTTGAATGGTCAAAAATGCCAGGACCAGTAAGCATATTTCATATTCTTTTATAGGCTAGTTTTAAATGATGGATTTCGTCTTGATTACAGGTAGTGTTGAATTTATTTGAGTAGCATTTTATTTCCACAATATTGTTATATACTTTGGATCAATCTAGATTTTTTCCCCAAGAAAATGTGTTTTGTGTTTAAGAGTTTACAACTTCTTTTAAAAACTTAAATAGAAAATTTTAAATATCTTTAAAAATGATGAAAAGTAATTAAAACTATATTTACTGTATAAATTTTTTTAATAAGCTTTTAAAATTAATCAAAAATTACCTTCAGTGTGATGTCATACGATGTTTGGTAAATGTTGCTCAATTGTGTGATGTCACAAACGAAGCAAGTTTTAAAATTTGTACGTTTTTTTTTTTTAAGTCAGTTTCTATATTTAGAACAAAAGTGAAACATTGTGTTAGATTTATATTATATTGTTTTCAGTTCTTCATTATAAGAAAATTACCAGATATATTCTGTAATACTTATTTTGAATTTGAACGTAGGTGGAAGGATGAAAAAAAACACGTTATTTACAGACTCCATACTCATTCCTGGAACTTAAACTCTTGCCTCAGAATAAACCTAGAAACCAAATGCTATCCAAATATCTATTTTTAAACATAAAAGCTGCGTATGATAAGAAATTTGTCTTGTTTTGGCAGCTATTTGCTTATTTATATGAAAATTAATATTTATAAGTGAACGTTGATAACTTAACACTACGGGAGAGACTATCTCTATTCAAAAGATTTAAAAATAAAAACAAACACAATATAAATTGAATCATCAAGAAAATTATTATTGAAGTAATTATTATCAAATTAATTTAATTTTTCTTTTTTTCAGTCTTCAGGAGTTACTGTATCTGTATTGTCTAAGACAGTTTACGACGAGGTGAAGAAAGATAAAAAATATCGTTATATTATCTATCATATAAAAGACGAAAAGGTCATTGATGTGGAAGTGACTGGTTCAAGGGATGCTACTTATAGCGATTTCCTTGCCCAATTACAAAATTATAAAACGGAATGTCGTTATTGTGTCTTTGACTTTCCTACTAATATGCACGGTGGCGGAGCAAGCGGTGGAGCACAGCAGAAACAGGGAATGTCAGTTGATAGATTGGTCATGATGACCTGGTATGTTAAACATAAATTATTAATTTTATCTACTACACACTAATGAAATTTTATTGATTCGGATAAATTTAATGATGATCGAATTCCGAATTTAACTGAAAGATTATAAAATAATGCTAATACACAAATAAATAAGGATACGTGTGCAGATCTATCTTCTATATATATATATATATATATATATAACAATTATAATTTAAAAAATATATGAAAATTAATCGAAAATGAAACGATTAATATTTATCTAAAAATTATAATCGTTAGATTTACCCTCATTATCCAGCGTATTCTTTATACTGTGTTCTTACACTTTCATATTAGTCAAAGTTCATTAAGTTTAGAAAAAATTTCACATTTTTTTTTTTCATTATTTTGGACATGTTTATATTTGTATTACATGAAAAAATTATTTGTTTCGTTGTTAGTATTACGTCAAAAGGAAAACTTTAAACAACTTGAGATAATCTTAGCTTGACTCATTTAAAACTTGTATCAAAAATAAAATAAATAACGGTAGCTTTATCAGTTCTGTAAAATCTGCCCTAATTTATCTCGACCAAAAAGTTTATTTATTAAATTTGTCTAAAAATAATGTTTTAAACATTTTTAAGTTGATTGAGTTCGATAAAACGTTAACTATGGAATTTTTTTTGGGTTTTATTAATTTTTCAGGTGTCCGGAGAGTGCGAAGATCAAGCAAAAAATGCTATATTCCAGTAGTTACGATGCTCTCAAAAAAGCGCTAGTAGGAATTTACAAATACGTACAAGCCTGTGATTTTGAAGAAGTAAGTCAAGAAGCCATAGAAGATGCCTTTAGGAAAGGAAAATAGACTTGAGAGAGAGAAAGGAAAAAAAAAAAAAAGAATTTTTAAAATGGACAGTCCCTCCAACCCTCCCGTTTTGGAGTACTTCAGCGTGATATAGTTTGATAAGTCATAAACTAAAAACAAAATAATTTCTTCAATTCCTATATTTTAATTGCTTTTATCGAATTTTTGTTTATTGTATTTACTCTTGCGACTGACATTGCCAANTTTTTTTTTTTTTTTTTTTTTTTTTTTTTTTTTTTTTTTTTTTTTTTTTTTTTTTTTTTTTTTTTTTTTTTTTTTTTTTTTTTTTTTTTTTTTTTTTTTTTTTTTTTTTTTTTTTTTTTTTTTTTTTTTTTTTTTTTTTTTTTTTTTTTTTTTTTTTTTTTTTTTTTTTTTTTTTTTTTTTTTTTTTTTTTTTTTTTTTTTTTTTTTTTTTTTTTTTTTTTTTTTTTTTTTTTTTTTTTTTTTTTTTTTTTTTTTTTTTTTTTTTTTTTTTTTTTTTTTTTTTTTTTTTTTTTTTTTTTTTTTTTTTTTTTTTTTTTTTTTTTTTTTTTTTTTTTTTTTTTTTTTTTTTTTTTTTTTTTTTTTTTTTTTTTTTTTTTTTTTTTTTTTTTTTTTTTTTTTTTTTTTTTTTTTTTTTTTTTTTTTTTTTTTTTTTTTTTTTTTTTTTTTTTTTTTTTTTTTTTTTTTTTTTTTTTTTTTTTTTTTTTTTTTTTTTTTTTTTTTTTTTTTTTTTTTTTTTTTTTTTGTCTTCAACTGTTATAAGATGAAGTTGAGAAATGTTTTCTTTAACAATACTCGAAAGCGAATTGTCACAAGTTGGGATTATGAAAACGCAACAGTAATGGATCCAAGTCTAGTGCATCGTCTAACGAATTTTCGTAGAGATATTTTCTAACTGGAAGATACAGGACACGATTTCATGCATAGACTTTGTGGTCACTCTAAACTTTATATAGAAAATTTCTATTTATATTTAAATAATATATTTCAATAAAACTCTTCAGTTAGCTATTTTAGAACGCTTTCATCTTTTCCATTCTCAATTAGTTATTACAATAATATTGAGAATTGCTTATTAATTAATAATTTCACAAGTTTCATTTAATACGACTCTTAAAAATTATATATAGTTATTACATTTTTTTTATGTTAAAAATGTGTCAAACATTAGATTAAAAGCGTCGAATTCATTAATTAGACTTAAAAGCATATAAATTAAATGAGATGATCAGAAAGAACGAAGAAAATTGTGTTTCAATATAAAATTAATTTGCTGTTAATATAATTGAATATTATTATCTAAATAATGATAAAATTAAGTTAATGTAATGAATTCAAACCCAAATATCACGTTAAATGTTAATTTGCCAAATTTTTGAAATTAATATTAAAGAACAAATAATTAGGATAATGAAAGAAAAATCAAACACTGAGAATACAAGATTAACAAAGAATACAAGAATTTAACAAAGATCAAATATAGAGTTATTTCATACTGTTTTATTTGTATAATCTATATACGAGTATATAAAATAGAATGTTTGTCAGTTCTCTATACATTTCTAAACTTTTAGACCAATCTACACCAAATTTTTCATAGTTACTCTAGGATCGTACGGAAAAAACAGTATAGGCTACCATGAAATCTGGATACTTACTCCTGATTTCATCCCCTTGATACTCCGTGATAAACGTAATAATGGTTGGCTAAAATAACCAAACTTTTCGTAGGATTTTCAATTTAATGATTGCCCGGAAGAAAAGTAACAAAGGTAATCTACTAGTTCTCTATATGAAAGCATTTTAACATAATATGATTGACATTTCATTACAATTTTCTTCTAAATCTACTGTTATGAAAATAGTATTTCGGAAAGGAAGGAGGTTATTAGAAATAAAAAATGAAAATACATCAAACAAAGAATTTTCATTTGATATAATGAATTAGATATCTTACAAGCATTCGTATCATTTGATAGCTATCGATGAGCCAGTCAAAATTGATATAGTCTAATTGACTTATGAGGCGTTTATTCCTCATGGCATTATCCGGCCAAACCCGATTTCAGGCCAAACTAGTTTATCCTACGCATGTCAGGATATACTAGTTTAGCCTAGGATAATCTAGTTTGGCCTAAATATTTTAGGCTTAACCAGTTTGACCTAGGCCGAACTGATTTATGTACTACAAATAACTGCCAGTGTAAAAAAAATTATTTTGTGTAATTCGAAATGCCACCATAGTACACCCGGTGGTTAAAGTGTACCTAGATAATCCCGATGGCGGTGCTTCGGTTAGGTTAACTACATTTTTAGTACAAGTTTCCTGTTTTTTCTTTTGTTCAAGAACTACCGTGAATCAATAACTAGTGACGTTAAACAATGGGCGAATCAATATTGGAATCAACAATGGAATCAATATTTATTTACAGCTAGGGTACAGCTACTATATAAATAAATATTAAATATATATATACAGTGGAACCTCGGTATACGACCTTAANTGTTCTTACACTTTCATATTAGTCAAAGTTCATTAAGTTTAGAAAAAATTTCACATTTTTTTTTTCATTATTTTGGACATGTTTATATTTGTATTACATGAAAAAATTATTTGTTTCGTTGTTAGTATTACGTCAAAAGGAAAACTTTAAACAACTTGAGATAATCTTAGCTTGACTCATTTAAAACTTGTATCAAAAATAAAATAAATAACGGTAGCTTTATCAGTTCTGTAAAATCTGCCCTAATTTATCTCGACCAAAAAGTTTATTTATTAAATTTGTCTAAAAATAATGTTTTAAACATTTTTAAGTTGATTGAGTTCGATAAAACGTTAACTATGGAATTTTTTTTGGGTTTTATTAATTTTTCAGGTGTCCGGAGAGTGCGAAGATCAAGCAAAAAATGCTATATTCCAGTAGTTACGATGCTCTCAAAAAAGCGCTAGTAGGAATTTACAAATACGTACAAGCCTGTGATTTTGAAGAAGTAAGTCAAGAAGCCATAGAAGATGCCTTTAGGAAAGGAAAATAGACTTGAGAGAGAGAAAGGAAAAAAAAAAAAGAATTTTTAAAATGGACAGTCCCTCCAACCCTCCCGTTTTGGAGTACTTCAGCGTGATATAGTTTGATAAGTCATAAACTAAAAACAAAATAATTTCTTCAATTCCTATATTTTAATTGCTTTTATCGAATTTTTGTTTATTGTATTTACTCTTGCGACTGACATTGCCAAGTTTTCATTTTCTATTATAATTGAAAGCATAGATTTTTTTCAATACTCATTCAGATTGTAAACATTTACTAAATCAGAGAAAATTTTTGGGAGGGTTTGGCATTTCAAAAATTATTTGTAATTAAGAAATTATTAAAGAAAAATAAGAACCAAGGGAAATTAAAAGAGAAATAAAATAAAATAGCCGAGTTTTGTATTTCGGCGTAAATCGAGTTCGCTCCAAATTATTTTAAAATTTGGAGCTAAATGTAAATCAGTATGCTATATCAGTAATAATAAATATTTAATAATTATCATTCTCGGTTTAATGTTTTCTCCGTTGTAATTAATATAAAAATATGAAGCTAAATTCTATTAGCGCTACAAAATTTTTTTCCTATTCAGTATTAATAATAATTCACATTTTCTACTCTAAATTATATATTTTTAAATGTTTGGAAAAGAAAAATTTTAATTAAAATAAACAGAAAAATAAAATTTGGTGTGAATATTAATTATACACAGAAAATGTTTTAAAAATGCTAATATTAATATAGGCCTATTTATGCAGTTAATTAGCTGAGAAAATTAAATATGCCTAATATGTTTGTTTTATAGTATTTGAAATATGAAGAATATAACATTGAATTAAATGAAGCTACACATAAAATTTTGTTTTATACATTGTAACTTTTAAAGGATAATATAAAATAATTAACCAAATTAAGAGTTCATATCATATAAATTCGAAGTTTTATAATAAGTTTTCTAAAATATACAGTTTTATACACATATAATTGTATATTTTAGCGATATGTATGATGTATATTTATATTAATAAGTTCAAATATTTTATTCTCTATATTTATTTAAACATTATATGTAAATTTACATATACAGAGTAGTCACAAAGTTCTTTGCATACTAGTTAGAAATTATCTCGTTGCTTTTCTCCATTCCCTACGTGTTCTGGACATGTTCCATATTGACGTTGGAAGTTTCTGTTACCTTTTTTTTTTTTTTTTTTTTTTTAACANGCAACAGTAATGGATCCAAGTCTAGTGCATCGTCTAACGAATTTTCGTAGAGATATTTTCTAACTGGAAGATACAGGACACGATTTCATGCATAGACTTTGTGGTCACTCTAAACTTTATATAGAAAATTTCTATTTATATTTAAATAATATATTTCAATAAAACTCTTCAGTTAGCTATTTTAGAACGCTTTCATCTTTTCCATTCTCAATTAGTTATTACAATAATATTGAGAATTGCTTATTAATTAATAATTTCACAAGTTTCATTTAATACGACTCTTAAAAATTATATATAGTTATTACATTTTTTTTATGTTAAAAATGTGTCAAACATTAGATTAAAAGCGTCGAATTCATTAATTAGACTTAAAAGCATATAAATTAAATGAGATGATCAGAAAGAACGAAGAAAATTGTGTTTCAATATAAAATTAATTTGCTGTTAATATAATTGAATATTATTATCTAAATAATGATAAAATTAAGTTAATGTAATGAATTCAAACCCAAATATCACGTTAAATGTTAATTTGCCAAATTTTTGAAATTAATATTAAAGAACAAATAATTAGGATAATGAAAGAAAAATCAAACACTGAGAATACAAGATTAACAAAGAATACAAGAATTTAACAAAGATCAAATATAGAGTTATTTCATACTGTTTTATTTGTATAATCTATATACGAGTATATAAAATAGAATGTTTGTCAGTTCTCTATACATTTCTAAACTTTTAGACCAATCTACACCAAATTTTTCATAGTTACTCTAGGATCGTACGGAAAAAACAGTATAGGCTACCATGA